TAGGAAGATTCGATTAGTGACTTTGGAAAATTTTGATCTTTGATCAATAACTGAGTTCTTATTGTCATATCTGGACTTTAGGTATATCATTGACATGATGAGATTCTACTGCTATTTATGGGGTTGCAATGTGTAATGGATCCTATTGAGACGGAAAATAGCTAAAATGATATTAGTTTATCTACTGAAGTTTAATCCAGATCCCAGATCATTCAAAAATCAAGATCTTTGAACATTGGATGTGGTTCGACAATGGAAGACACAATACTCAATAATCTAACATCTAAAACATCGATATCATATAGTTTCATTAATTTCTGGTACCTACTCCACAGTGCAGAGACAACCAATTCCCCTATAAGATAACACAGCCTATATCAGTTGTACAGGTCATAAACCTGGAAACAGTCGAGCTCCTAATTTTTTTTGACAATTAATGGTTGAGCTCCTAATTTCCCCCTCACAATATGAAATTTCTCAAAGAAATGAACAAGTCAGGGGGTAAATTTTGGAAATGGAAACCAAAGAAGGTGCATATATTTAGAGCATAAATGCAAATTACTCAATGATTTTGTAAATAACAGCTGCGTGAAGCAGTGATTGTCGGTTTGATGAAACCTTGGATATATTTCTGATCCATGGAGCATTTGATTAGCTTAAAAAATCTATGCTATGTATTCTTCATCACTTGAAAACATGAAATGACTAATGATTCCTTTCCTTGTTACAGAAAATAAAAGAAGTGGTTGGATTACAACCATAACTGGTCAATATCGGTATCTGCATATTAATGCTGGCAGTCAGTCATATTCAATTGACTGATTGCCCAATTGCAGATGGGTACCCAGAGTCCAGTGAATCCTAAGACAGCCTTGGAGGGTGTGCATGGAGTGCAAGTGGTGCCTCATTCACCATTTGCATTGGAAGAGATAAAACAACATGGAGGCTTACATAGACGGAGCCATGCAAGTTTTCCTGTTGGAACAAGACACCACCTAATAGTGCAGTAAGTGAAAATGAGGTTATCTTGGTTGACCTCTGATCATTTGTCTGGAAGTGCTTTTCTATCTTCTATAAGCAACACAGATGATTGAATTGTCAATTCTGACCCTAAAGTTAGGATTAGGGTTGACAAGAATTTGACTCATCATGTTATCTTGTTCACCAGGAGAGTTTGGCAGCAAAGGCCTGGTTGCCTCAGGCCCATCCGTTGCAGTTGCCATGGTAAACCTACAAAGAACAATCACTTTATGAACTGTTAGCGTATAATACTGCCTCTACCATGTTTCTAATCTTTTAATTGTTTTCTTTTAGGTGATCGTACTGTTGCTGAAACTATTGCGAATGTGATCACTTCTCTTCCTTTTATTGCTCTTGGACTTCAGGCTCCGAGGTCAGAAATATATTTTGCTAGAGCTGCTCTATGATGACCATGTTTGATTGCACACAGAATTTTTAATTTTTTTTTTGGCTGCAGGAAAAATCTTCATTGCAAACTTTATGCCAATTCATTGATTGGAGTTGGAATTATCTCCAGTTTGTACCATGCTTCGAGAGGCAAAATAAGGCGCTATATGAGATGGGCTGACTACTCAATGATAGCAACAGCAACAGTGGTAAGTCTTCAGCTGTACATTTTATATCTTTTCAGGATCTTTTATATTTGCCCAGATGTTCTAAGATACAATTTTGCTTGGAGTTTTAATCACACCAGAAATGCTTGCTGAAAATTATATAATTGATAACTACCTCATTCATGAACATCAAAAAGAAAAAAGTGCAAAGAATTGGAAAAGGTGTGTGACATTGACGTTGAAATAGCTGGTGGGGTGTGCTGATTGCTGAAATAGTTTTCTTGGTCCCCTTTTTGCTAAATTGTGTGAGAAGTATCTACTCTGCATTTGAAAGTGATAATGATTTGTGTTAAGAGTGCTCAAGTTCCTAGAAGTACTTTTATTTGGATGCTAATTAAATAGAGCTATGCCGGAGTGTTAGTACACTACCTTGAGAATTATGTTTTAAGAAATTTTTCATCATGAACTTTCAATCAAACAGTGTACTTTTTCCCAAAAAGAAGATGCTTTCTTCTACATTTGTAAGTCTCAAGTGCCTAATAGAAAATATTAAAAGTAAGCATTACCCTAATGCTTATTCTTATTTTTTCTGTATTGTATTCCTGGAGAATACATGTTTAAATGCAAGCTAGTTTGGCTAGACACTGCCGTCATAAAAAGTATTTTTTTAAAACAGGTTAATATATTTTCATTCATAAATATGGCCAAATTGGTACACGGGGTATACCAAAAGGTAAAGCATCTACAAAAATATGTCATTTTCTACAAACTCCACCCATTTGTGTGCACCAAAAAGAAACAGAGACTATTCCTAACTAAGAGAAACTCGACTCCACTCCTTCAAAAGCTCTCCTATTTCTCTCTATCCAGACAATCCACATTAACGCAAGTGGAACCACGTTCCAAGTCCTTTGTCTTCCTCCTTGTCCCACTCTACATCAACTCTTTCACAGTTCTTGGCATTGCCTATGGAGTGCTAAACCAACTAAACATATCCCACCATAACCTCGTGGTTAGCCCACATGTTGAAGAAGATGATCCATGTCCTCCCTCGTCTCCTTCGACATGTAAGACCAACGGCTATAGACAATCTTCAGCTTTCTTAGATATTCCGTTGTCAAAGTCACCCCTCTAGCAGTTAACCAAGTAAAAGCACACCTTTATCGGCACCTTTGATATCCATATAACGTTACAAGAGAAAATATGGTCCTTCCTAACCAAAAGTTTGGACTCAGTTATCATCTTTGAAACACAGACACTTCCCAATCTTGAAATTCTCTTCTAAATCTCAAGTCCCAAAAAGACTCCACCTTGTGTCCCTCCATTATGTTGTATTGTAGAGTCTCTTTGGCAAGATGTTCTCTAACTCTCTGAAATTCATCTTTCAATAATATTCCCCCACAAACAGTATGTCCCCAAAAAGTTACTCTCCTTCCGTCTCTGATTAGAAAAAGTGGTGGCCAAGAATTATAACGTATTGGTACTGGTTAGAATCTACCTCATAATAAGTGTGGATCAATTATAACTGACCCTCTTTGCCTTCCCTCTTATTTATCAAACGTAAGAAAAATAGTTTGGTGATTTCTTCTCATACAAGTCCTTAGTGGAAAAGTTTCTAGTATCTAGTGGAGGTAGCAAGTACCCGGTAGAGTTAGTCAAGAATGTACAAACTGTTATCCTTATCCAGAAAGTCTACAGATGGGTAAAGGGGTAGATCTGTGAGTGCTTTTGAACAGGTGGTTCTATGAAACTTAATAGCTTCAAAAGAAGCGAAACTTAACTGCTGACTTTTTTTGCAGTGTCTATCAAGGGCACTTAGAAATGAGAATCCCAAATTGCTGATGGCAGCGTCTGCAGTCCTCCTACCGATCCAACCTCTGATGGTTTCTGCTGTGCACACTGGAATGATGGAGGTAGATATCTGCTTCTGAATGCTCGAATGAACTGAATTACATTACCATTTTAATCTCTTCCCTTGTTCGCAAAGAATATGATGTAATGGACTGTTTCACTCTTTTTTTCCATTTAGGTTGCATTTGCCAAAAGAGCACTTCAAGATCCGGATCTAAGGATGAGTCACAATGTGCACAAAATGTCATCGTTGCTAGGGGGTGCTCTTTTCATAGCTGATGATGTCTTTCCTGAAACACCTTTCTTGCATGCTGGTTGGCATCTTGCTGCTGCTGTTGGGGTGAGCACTTGCAATAAGCTTCTTGAGTAGGTTGCTATAATTCCTGCCAAATTTGTCGAAACCACTTGCCATTGCCTGCAAAGATTTTACCATTTATTGAAACAAGAAGTGGAAAAGAACACACTGCAATCTTGGATCAAGTCTTGTTATTCAATTGTCTATCCTTATTACTATTCATTGTAGTGTTTATTGGTTTTAGAGAAGTAGTGATAGTTATCTTTTGTAGCTATGTGCTGTAGAACGATGGCAATTAGCGTTGCGTTTTATTATGATGCCAGTGTGAAACATTGTTTCCAGAATATGATTGTTCTTCAGTCTCGCGCTGAACGCGTAGTATTCTTGCGGACTACATCTTAACATATGTACTGAGTTTTCATGTGAATACTGCAGTTTGTCTTAGATATGTTGTTGAGAGTGTCTTGAAATCATTTTTGCACGGCGGACTCTAGGACAATTTTTGTTGACAAATAAATATTGCAAATTCATAATTTTAAAGTACTAAATCATTGCTAAAATTAATATACTAAGTATTAACTACATAACTAAATATTGTTAAAAAACAACTTAAATTAGGTTATGTGTTTAATTGTCTAAATTAATGTAAAAATAAAGAATAAGTATTCAACATAAGTGTTGAATTGATTTATTTTTTTTGTTAGCATTAGTATCAATTTGAGCTTTATTACCGTTACTAATATTTATGAACTATTATATTTATCAGGTCATTCAAAATTTTAAGTTTCAAACTTGAAATAATATATTTTTTTGTGACAAAAACAATGAAACAATATAAGAAACATTTAGAAATCACATTCAAAGTAAATACTTTCATGTATAAAATGAATTTTAAAAATTATCTATGTAATATCGTGTTGGTGTGGTCTTGAGTTGATTTTTTTTTAGTTGAAATCAAATCAAATCAATCCAAGTATAGTCATATTTTTTCAATACTGAACTAAACCAAATTCCTATTCGAAGTTTTTCTTTTTTCTTAATTTGACTCGGCCTATAATTTGATTGTTTTATTTGAGTGCGAAAATAAGAAATGATTTTGTTTTTTTCCTAAAAAGGAAAAACACAAATTAATTGATACATAATTTTAGGAACATACCTATTGGAATCATGTGATATTTTCTAACAATCCATATCTTTTATAAAAATAAAAAATTATACTCTTTTAACCAATTACACATATGTCAAACACATCTAAGCCTAATTTTTTTAAGCACTAGACTCATACTATAAATATTTCAAAACACATTTAAACCCAATAATTAAAAAAAAACACAATTTTGGGTAAAAATCTTAATTTTCTTAATAAACTCTGTAAACAGAATTTCTGAAAACTTCTCCAAACAGGGAATACCAGCAGTTATGAATCCATCAACACATAAAAATGGTGGCCAAAACCCTAATGTGGTGCAGCAGAAGGAGAAGATGAAGCAGGAGAAGGAGAAGATGAAGCAGAAGGAGGAGGAGCAGATGTCAATGAAGAAGTTGAGAGAAGCAGTCTTCAATTTGGCTAACGGTGAACCAAATGCTCGATTATCAGAGACGCAAAGAGTAGCTCTTCAACAACGCATTTCGCAGATTTTCTCGGGTCTTACTACTCCTGATCATCCTCCGTATGCTTGGGTAACTCATCTATTCGTATAAAGTTTTCATCTTTCATTGTAATTGAATTTATTTGTTATTTTATTTTCAATTCGATGTCTGATACCTGCATTGGAGTTTGAGTACTTTTGGATTTGAATTTGCATTGGTAGGCCCACTCAGGATTCAGAAACAAGTCTCATTCACTGCACCATATATTTTGTTAGCAGTATTATAATTGAATTGTATGAAATTTTATTTCACCAATTAATTGTTTTTCGAAAGAATAAAAGAATTAGGGTTGATACTTGATTCTAGTTTATCACGTGGGTCTGTTGCCGAAAACTCTCTCTACCTTCACGAGGTAGTGGTAAGGCATGCGGGTTGATACTTGATTGTAGTTTATCATGTGGTATGTTGTCTGAAACCGTCTCTCTGCCTCTACGAGGTAGCGGTAAGGCATGTGGGTCGATAGTTGATTGTAGTTTATCATGTGGGTCTGTTGTTCGGAAACTGTCTCTCTACCTCCACGAGGTAGTGGCAAGGCATGTGGGTTGATACTTGATTGTAGTTTGTCATGTGGTATGTTGTCGGAAACCCGTTTCTCTACCTCCACGAGGTAGTGGTAAGGAATGCGTACACTCTCCGCTTACTCATCTCTTCATGTAAACTCTGTATCTTTAATTGTTGTAAGTGATTTGTACAAAGATAATCTCTTTTTTTTTCTTAAAACAAATTGGAGGGGGCTGTTGAGAATGTGGCCTAAGATTTTTTAGTAGCTAATCAAAGTATGAAGGAAGTTCTATTTATAGGGTTTCTGGGAAAAATGGATTCTTGGATTATAGTTTTCGTGTTGGCTGCTTGGGAAGTTAACCTTCCTATTTATGTGTGTATATGAGTTTAAAGATCAGGTTCTTTTGAATTATTGAGTAATAAATATTCTTTTGAAAAATGAAATATTTGTTCGATTTTTTGTTCATATGTGTTTGTCATATTCTTGTCGATTTTGTCAATTTTATGATATTGGTTTTATATGTATCGAGGGCAATATTAGATTGCTTTTGTTATTATAAAGTTAATACATTCTCAAGATATCAGCCGAAAAAGATTTGCTTTTGGAAGTTCTTTTCTTTATAAGAGCTTGATTAATCGAAGTAGCAATATGACTTTCAGACCTTGGAGACTTGATTAGCTATTTCTCTTTTTTCCGTCATACCTTTAGGAGTAACAGTGAATAGTTTTGAAATCTTGTTGTTTGGATTTTTTCAAGTTTCATATAGCTGAAGTGAGTTTATGGTCTAATTGAATGTATTCTTTTGTTATAGATGATTGAAAAGGCCTTGAAAGAATTGAAGGAAAAAGGGGGTTCCAGTGAAGAGTCAATATCTGAGTTTATCATCAAAGAACATGCCAGTTTGCCATATGCTCATACGACCATGTTGAAACATCATCTACAGAGTATGACTGAAAAGGGAGAAATCCGTATGATTGGAGGACGGTTTTTGCTTCCTGGTGACTGTGAAAGCGTGGTTCCAAAGAAAAAAAGAAAGAGGAAGAAAAGGAGGAATTTGGTTATTAAAAAAAGGCAGTCGGGGCGGAAGGAAAAGGAGGAGGAAAAGCAGGTGCAGCATGATGATGTGGAAGTTGTTGGAGAACAGAAGAATTTGGATGAACAACAAAATGACGTCTCTGTTGATGAAAATCGTGGGCAACAAAATGAACGTCATAATGCACCGAGCACAGGTAAAGAAGATGGGCAATTAAATGACCAGCAAAATTCTGTAACTGGAAATGAAGTTGTTTGTGGAAGAGTTTTAAGGAGTACAGTACATAAACAGAAAGGAAAAGTACAACTTGATGCTACTGGAGGATCACTGCAATCCTCCATTGCTGCTGAGACTGCTATAGGTTGTAATTCGGAGTTGCAGCTATCGCAGCTTAGTCTCAGCACAGTTGAGGAAACAGCTGACATTAGTAACTTTTATCCACAAGAAATTCTGGAAAATGAACAACCTGGAGATGACCTGCCTCTACTTTTAAGTCCTGAAGCACCTCCAGGTTTTGAGCTTGTGGTGGTGGAGGATGTCACAGAAAATAAAGCACATACCCCTGTGTCAGTAGATTTGGACTTACCGAAAGAACATATCTCTTCGTCAATAGGTTTGGATTTACCAAAAGAAAACCATGTTATGCCTCTGAGTTCTGACAAACCTAGTGAAGAGGAGGCTGTTGCTGAGGACCTGTTGAAGACTAAGAAGCAGAAAAAGAAGCACCATGGCTGGCAGCAAACGAATAGGCCAATGACTAGGGCGCTAGCGAAAGGAACGGTAACGCCAAATGAACAACCTCGGTCAGGTAGAAATAGAAAACAATTACAGTTAGCTATGGAGAGCTCATCAGATCGTGCACAAAGACAACTGAAGCGCTGGAGTAAAAGTCCGTCTGAACCTAAATCAGTAACTACCTCTAAACTGAAACAATTGGCATTGTGTGACTCAGCGGATCAACAGTTAGTAATTATGGAAGAGCCTTTAAGCATCTCTAAACCATTATGTGTCACAGCTGATCAACATGTAGTACAGATGGAAGAGCCATTGGCATTGGCAATAAGTGAGGAGGCATTGAATTTGACCGATCCTCAACATGAGGTGCAATTGAAGCAGCCAAAAGCTAAGCGTTGTGGGAGGTCTCTCAAGGGCAAGGAGGATGGGGCTGATCCAGATACTACACTTTTGAAGGATTTAGGATCATCCAAGAAGCTAACAAAGAAACAAACTCATAGAGGTGTAGGAAGGCGTAGGAACACAAAGTAAAGTGAGCATTGCAGTTCCTTCATTCTCTCTCTTATGACGACAAAAGGTATAATTAAACCCCAGAAGCTCAAGCGTTAGTCAATAATTGCTTGTATTTTCTCTTATGTTTTCAAACTTGGCAACGTAAAAATAGAGGTACAATATTGAACTAATAGCTTGACTGACATACTTATTTGAAAGAAGCTATAACATTGCTTACTAATTGCTCGCAGCTCTATTTTCTTCCAAGTTTTCTCTATATAGTACAGGTTACGACAGAGTAATCCAGCAATGAAGTACTTATATGTGAAAAGGAAGTTAGTATTGACTTTATTTCTCCACTTTATTTTGGATTGACGTGTAGTTGATTGATTGATATTGACTCGTCTAATCTGATACTCGAGTTCCATGTCTATTCAAGGATTCAACACTCTAACCAAAATCTATCTGAGCTTTGCAGGTCTATAGTTAAGTTAGTGTGTATATGAAGAAATTATTGGTGGAAACGCGAATCCAGATTTAGTCGGGTTAGTGAGTAGCAGCCAAAGTGTATATGAAGCTCTCTCTTAGATATGTTTCATTTCTCAAATCATACTTCTGAATTCAGTTGGAATATCAGTTAGCATATTTTGGTTATATCAGAATCTGGACCTATTCTTCATATGTAAAAGGTCAGTTTTATTTCTCTCAGTTATTGTTTTGTTTGAACTTGGATTTCTTATAATATGGTCTTCTTTAGATATTGTCCTGTTCATATTTCATTTTTGGATCATCTTTTCTTTTTTGCTTTTATATTTTTCAACATTTAAGGGTTGTTAGTTTATAACAAGTTATATAAAAGATAAACTTATTCATATGGTGGATAAATAATCTCAAAACTTTCATAATTAAAGATTCAAATGCAAGATTTATAATTAAAAATGAAAGCATTTATTTTCTTTGAGTTTTCGTAAAAAGCTAGATTACGAAGAAATATTTATAAAATAGAGATCATTACTAAAAACAGTTGAAGTATTATTTTGTTTTACAACTTTTTTTTACTTGAAATATCAACTAGTCGCGTTTTTTATCTCAATTATCATCACTTATTTGTCAATAAAAAAAAACTTAACTAGTATCTGATGGTGTGCATGGTGTAAACTCTTTTTTTTTTGGTTTAAAAATGGTATTACACATTGATAATGAAAATTTAACCAAAATAAAAATAGTTGTCAAAACATATATTATCACTTTTTTGCGAGTTTTCTATTTGAACTATTAAATGTATTGTTTTTCTATCTCGATTATCACCAACTATTTATCAAATACACCTCAAAATGAATGAGTCAGCTATCATGTAGATGAAATTTTATGAGCAAATTAAGTTGCTACGCTCCGTTTTCACAATTGTATTCAAACATTTGAAGTAGTCAAATTTAATCCAAATAAAAATACAAACACGTGATAGTTCAAACTCAAAATAGAAAGATACTTTTTTTTTTTGGTACACCATTCTCTTATAAAAATATATTTAATACACAATGGATTTATTTATTTACTTATTAGATTACTTCTTAGTTCTTATTTTATTTTTGGGTAAAAAGCTCAACTTGTTATTTGGTCAAATCTTATTCCGGTTTTTTCTAATTCATTTAATTATTTAAAAAAAAATTAAGTTGATTAAGCTCAACTCTTTTGACTAAACATGTCAGGCTGGATTCAATTAAGTCGTGTAAATTATGATTATCAACTTAAAATAAAATTATTCTTTTGGGTTTAAGTATGAACCAATTTATTGGGTGTGTATGGCAAATATTTTTTTTAATGAAAAATATCTTTTATAAGTAAGATAAGTGTTTTTTTTGTTAGATATGTATATATAAAATGTAATTCTAAATTTTCGTAAAGACAAAATAAATTTATTAAATTAATAATTAAAATTAAAAAAAATTAGCAATAGGAATACACTTAATTGATCCTGACATAACTACGTAACGACAGATTTTAGCCATAGCTATATTTCTGTCTCTGTTTTAATTGAGATTAATTAATACAACACATTTTTTTTGGTGCCATAATCAGAAAATTAGAGATAATAATTTTGCATTAAACAAGTCAACATGAATTATAGGACCCCACAAACTTTAATGCTCAATTAGAAAAAAAAGTGGACAAGTTGGATGAGCTAATTATGAGTATTAATATTTTAATATTCAGTTTTTAGTTTAGATTCACACTATATAAAAATTAATTATTACGCTAAATTTATTTTATATTTCTTTTCATCTTAATTTATTTAATATATTTTAATTGGAAACTTTTTTTTTTAAAAAAAACAAAATTTACAGCTAAATAGATAATATAATAACTATTTATATAGTTATAAATTATTTTTCATTAATAAAAAAATGTGAACTAAAGTTTACTTATTTTTAAAAAATATATAAGAAGATATTATTCTGCTAAAATAATTTAAAAAGAATAATATATTATAGCAAGTGGAACAAAGAAAGTGGAGTATTAAATTATTAGATGTATATATGGCCCATCATTAACATACATTTTGTGTTACATCAGCAATTAGTGGATAATTACTTTACTTTTGAACAAATCTTCATAGATTAGGAACCCCACAATTTTTAATGCCTAATTGTTAATTGTCAAATGTAGAAAAGTTGGATGAGCTAACGATAATAATAACATATTTGGTAAATTTTATAAAATGGATATAAATAAAGTAAAATATGTGCACGTGTTATTTCTATTTGTAATTTTGTAAAGGTAAAAAATTATTTTTGAAAGATCATTAATTCAATGAAAATATATCAAATATTGATGAAAAGAAAAATGACTATGAAGAAATATACCGTGCAGAATAAACATACAAGAAATAATAGCGTTATCGAAATAGTGTGAGCACTTAAACATAATAAACAGTAGATGATAAAAAATAACAAAAGCAAGCAACTATATGAATAAAGTTAATACTACCACCAGTTCTAATCTGATTGAAAAATAAGACAACACTCAATTACCTATTAATTTTTTTTCTTAATTGATCACCGACTTAGATATCCTCTTGTCTATAGTCATGTAAGATGTAGGTGCATAATGACATGTCTAATCATTTACACTAATACTTCTCCAGTTTACTTTTATATCTCCTCATATGTTCATCGTCTTCTCATATGCGTAGATCATCTCAATCTTATCTCTCTCATTTTTTCACCACAAAGGTTACTCTGATTTTATCCTAAACATTTTATTCTTAATCGTATTTCTCCTAGTATGTACACGTCTATCTTAAAATTTTTTAATTCTACTTTTATCTTTCGAAGAAATTTTTTTGATTAGGTAACACTCTGCCCCATTCATCATAACTAATATAACAATTATAAACTTACATATATTTCATTATGCAGGATGCCGAAGGCAAATTTCTATTTCATCCATCATATTGTAATATGATGTGAAACATTATCATCAATATATACGTTCGCTTAGATTATCGATCCAAGATACTTGAAAACTTTATTCGTTGGATATAATTTATGTAATAATTTTTAATTTCACATATATCTTGTGAATTCCGTAATTGAACTAACATTTTAAATATGACACTTTAGTCCTACTCAACATAAACCCTTTAAATTCTACGGTATGCTTTTAATCCTCCAAACCATCGTTATCATACACTAGATGATTTTTTTTTAGAAATATGGCACATCATTTCATCTACCACCAAGAAAAAAATATGAGGCTAAGAGTTGATCCCTGGTGCAATTGTATCGCAACCAGAAATTGCTTTGAGTCGTATTTTATTATTTTAAGTCGGACTTTAATTTTATTATACGTTTTGTAATCTCTCTAATGTAAGATACGAGTACACCTGTAACCTCAATACACCAACACAGAAATCTCTAAAAACTTTATCACATGTATTTTTAGGTCAGCAAACACCATATATAAGTCTCTATTATTATCTCTATACCGCTTCATCTATCTTCTTACGTGATCATCAATTACTACTATAGTTGAATATTCCAACATGAATTCAAATTAGTTTTTGATAATAGAAACTTTCCCTCGTCCTCATCTCCACTATTCCTTTCAACTTTCATAATTTGTCTGTCGCAATTCCGAATATCACCGTTATTCATATATAATAAAATCATTATACTTCACCTATATTTCAGACTCGATCGCCCTCCCTTTTCCAATCTTAAATAACCTCTTTAACCTCCTCAAACTTCATATGCTCTACCGACTTTTTATAAGCCGCCAACCTTAAAAAATCTATAAAAAAGAAAATTAAAATTAAAGATTAATTTATTTAAATCTCAAAATTTAAAAACTATCAAAAAAAAATAAAATAATTATTTTTAAATATATATCAAAATAAATAAATACAATAATATTTACATCTAATTTAATACATTTGACTTTATAATAATTTTACCAAAGTCATTACGAGTCAGAAATTAAAAGAATAGCGTCATCTTGGTCCAATTTTCATGGCCATATATTAACTTAGCTCAAATCTACAGTTTTTCTTCTATATTAATAATAATTAATTCGAATTCAAATCACATAACTATTATAAATTTTTTTATCTATATAATTTAAAATTTAAAATCGAAGAGAAGCCGTCGAATCTACTGCAACGATATCACAGCTCTGAAAATACGCGTAAATATTCTTTGAACTTTCAACTTTATCAGACTTTTCGTCTCACTTCACCTTTACCTAACTCTCAGATCTGAATTCGATTCATTTTTTTTTCTCTCTCGGAGTTTTTGTGAATGTAGACAAAATTTGACAGAAATAGAGATAAGATAAGGTTCGCCATTCAAGGTTTGTCGCTTTTCACTGTTTACGCATTCAATTTTTATATATATATTATATAATAATAATAATCGCATCGGATTCCAATTCCATTTTTATGCTGTGTATGGATTGGGTTTACTGCGTAATTTAATGGCGGAGCTAAGATTTTTATATAATTTTTTGATAGGTGAAAGTATTAACTTTTTTGTACCTACCTGTCTCCGCCTCTTATGTATGTATGCCCAGCTGATGTATTCAATTTTGGCTGTTTCTTCAACTTTATGATTAATATTTTTTATTGATTAATTAACAGGGAGTGTATATATATATATATATATATAAATTAAAAAAATATAGAGGGTTTCAACTGGGGTTGGCTTTACCTTGTCAATTTATGGAGTTATAAGCAAGTAGTAGAGGAAGTTGTCAATTATTAATTCCTTAAAGGTGGGAACTTGGAAAGGGGAAGCAATTATTGTCTCTTAAGAGCTGTTTTCACCTCTCTTTAGAGACTTATTATTTGTTGAGGTATTTTTTTGGTTCAAGATTTAATCTTTTTTTTGGATTATCAGTTTTGTTGAGTTTTTTAGATATTAGATCTTTAATGTAGTTGAATGATGAGGTATTCTTTGATTCAAGATCTGATTTTTCTTTTCTAGTTGACTGTATTGAGATTTATTTGGAATGTGGTTTTTTTTGTTCTTTGTTGATAATCATGTTGTCCTTGACTAATTCCACGGGATGGTATGTAATTGAGTGGATGGAGTATGGGGTTGATGTTTGTATGTATATGTATAAGTCTGGCAGATCACATAGCTTAAATCTGGTGTTGGAGATCTCTTAAGTGTTAGTTATAGGTCTCCCATCTTTCATAAAATGTGGAATTTTGAGTTATTAGCATTCAGTCCTTTTAATCAGTGAGTAATTAACTAAT